ACAGAATTACTATTAATTTTGAAGGGGTCTGGTTAAATGGAATCTATTGTCAAATTGCCATCCAGATAACATTTTGCAATGAACTTCTTGATTACCATGACATTTGTCTTATTATGAACGAATACACTGAGTGATCATTATCATTTCTAATTTGCCTCTTTAAACAAAAATGAAGAAATATCCTCTCTTTAGGATTTCTTTGTAAAAAAAAATAATCCATGTAACTTTCATTTGTTACAAATGTGCTTTATGTTTTCTTGGAGAGGCACCTTCTAAACTAGAGAACAGGTTAATAATGCAGTGTTTCTGTGTGTAGTTCTGAAGCAGAAAGTTTGAAATAGTCAAGGGATTGGCATGAAGTCATGTAAAATACCTTGATTTTTGACCTTCCTGATAATGGGAGATTTCTGCTACATTTGGGTATTCATCCATTTATTCATTTATCAAACATTTGTTAGGATCATAAGTGTCACCTGCATCACCTTCTTAATTATGGCAGAAACCCACTGTTTTTGTCCAGCAGTGAGTAAAAGCATCAGCTTTGGAGCCAGACTAATTGTGGGCTAAAGTGTTGGTCCCACTGTACAAATGTGGTAAAATTCAAATTGTCGGTGTTTCTTCCAATCAAGCGATTTTGTTTTATATATAAGAGGTGGGCAACCTTACTAAATTACATAATATATTATTGTGTTAGACAAGTTTTAAATTTTGTTATATTACATATTTTCATGTTTGAACATCTTAAGAACATCAGAGGTACAATTTCCCTCAAATGACTCCATTCTTAATTTTTCACTCACCTACACAGTCCTTTGTCTTTATAATATTGATGTTTCCAAACAGTCTGCCCTCTAAGTCAACCCCACAACCCAGGGCAGGAAGCTTAAGCCTCACAGAAGGATGGGCAGCTGCATAAGGAAGAAGGCTGGGCCAAAGTGTGAACTTGATTCCTGTTCCTGGCCTCCTGTTAATGGACTTGTGAGCTTGCTATGTCCCATTTTTCCACATTTTGTACTTCTAGCCCTCCTTCATGATGTTATTCCTATTTTTCCTTTTTCCCAGTTGCTGTCACAAGTTGGAGATGTGTCCGATCTCTGCCTATTTCTTCCAGGCATGTATAATAGGCTGACTGGACATGGGAACCTCTGAGATCACTTAATGGGCAGGTCTATGGAGCAGCACATTACCAAGAAACCTTGTCCTAAACTCAAAGGGCCAAATGAGGTCTTGTTCATCATGGCCACAGCGCTTGATAGGCCCTCAGTAACTGTGAGGTGCTACTGAATATCCCCTTCCTCCAAAGGGTCACAGTAAGAAGTCTGAGGAGAGGAGGGAAGGAGAGCTTGTCTGGTGACAGAATCTCCAAAGATCTAAGATACCAGGATAGAGGCAAATCCTCTCTTTAGCCAGTGTCACAAGAAACCAAAATGACCAGACATTGACACCCACTTATGGTTTCTCTAGGACAAGCTCTGAAGCCCGACTATGGGCCTGCAGGCTCATTTTGATTTGGCCAGCAAGGTTATTCTAGAAGAAATTGAATTAGAATACCTTCAAGTAAGGCAAGTGCTGTCTGGCCCAATAGTTCCCACTCTTCCATGTTTGCCACTACTTTGTCGCTTTACTTTTGAACTTCTAAACCAAGTCCAACCTGATTTTATTATCTTGATTTTCTCTATTCGCACTCCACAGGAGGAACTACAGCTCTGTATGAAGAATCAGCAATTTCTATGGGAAAAGGTTGTTTTGTTCTCCAGACTATGGGAGGCTAGGGGATGCAGGCTTGATTTTATCCATTTCATCCAAGATTGTTTTTTTGTCAATGGAACAGATTGTGTTTGTCTTTCATATGCCAATCTTTAGACAGGCTGATTCTGGCAAATGGTAGTATGTGAATTCAAAGGCAGTACATGTTTAGTAATGAAAGAATGCTTTGGACAAAATCTCACTCCTGTATCATACTTTGGTTTAACAGCACTGCATCATTTCTGTTTGTTTGTTTATTTATTTATTTATTTATTTATTTATTTATTTATTTATTTAGTAAAATAATATCATAGAATCTTACCAGGTTAGTAATTACAACTGTATTACATTCATGAAGGCAGAACTTTTCTGATATACTTGTCTGGATTGAATGCCTGAATGTTAAGGATCATAGCATAGAAGAAAAGTATTGATAATCTGCTAAAAGTTCATGTTTGGGATAATTTTGGCACTGTTCTTTGTGTTGGACAGTACTATGCGTTGTGCAATTCACTGAATCAATATTTCTGGGTTTAAGAATAGATCTTTTTATTTCATGAGTATCATCCAGTTTATAGGTGTGTTATCTATTCATTCATAAGTGATTGCATAATTTGACTTATTTGGACAAATGCAAAAATTAGAGATGAATTAAGAAGAAAATATTGAAAATTTACTCTATATAAGAAAAGGTACATAATTATAAAATATTAGTATTCTCAAACTTCTAATATACCATCCTCGACTTCATTTCTTGCCTTGTACACATTCCATGAGAACCTGTACTGGCTATTTTATTGACAAATTCTCTTGTCAATCTGCAAAGTAGTATTAATTCACTTGCTGGTATTAATTCATCTCCTAACTCTTCTAGATCATCAGTTTGTCCCAAATTCCATATCCATCAAGGAAATGATTTTTATTTCCATAGACATTCAATCAGTGCACTGTAGACTGGTTTCAAATTTCAAATGTGTACAAGGGCAAATTTACTTTTAACAAATGTATATTCAAAAATTTTAAAGCAAACAAATTGCTCCTGGCAAGTTCAGACTCCCTCAAGGCAAGGACAGCATAAAAATGGCAGGGAGCTGCACTAAGTCATTCATGACTACAGCACAAACTAGCCAGATTGTACCAAACTAAACCTAGTAACAAATTAGAAATATGGAGGGTATACTGGCCTCACCATTTTTATTCCTTCTAACTCCAGGCACCAGAGAAAGGGAAATGACTAAATCTCGATTTTAATAGCTGCTGTCAAGAGTTTTGCTCTGTAGGGCCTATTTCAGCAGTTCCTGGTGGTAATATATGGCATTTCTCTGATTAACAGCCATTTTATAACTTGTGTAATTGGCCACAAATCAGGGGAATGTCATAATGTAGCAAGAAAACATTCCCATCTCTGTCAGAGCCTTGGCTTGGATTTTTGGAGAAATTATTACTTGAATAGTTTGTGGGTTTTCATTACTTTAAATAATGTACTACCTGAAGGAAAAAAAAAAAAGAGACATTTAAACTAATGAACATTTCTGTCTCCTAGCCCTTTCTGCCATGCCTGTCTTTATTTTAGAAAAAAAAATTCTCTAAAAATTGAATTATTTCTTCATTTTTATAAGACCAGTATTTTTGGGAAAATAGAGGAAAAGTAGGGTTGAGAGTGAGGTGAGGTGACTCAGGTATTCAGGAGTAAAATTTAAAGGGGCACCAAAATACTCAGTAATCAAAATAAAAATATTTTAATTTAATATTTTGAAATTAAAACTATTCAAAAAAGATCTATGATAAACAAAATATTAAACTTAAATTGTTTTTACATTTATTTATTTTTGAGAGACAGAGAGAGATAGAGCACAAGTGGGGGAGGGGCAGAGAGAGAATGAGAAACAGAATCCGAAGCAGGCTCCAGTCTCTGAGCTGTCAGCACAGAGTCTGACGTGGGGTTCAAACTCACAAACCATGAGATCGTGACCTGAGCTGAAGTCAGACGCTTAACCAACTGAGCCACCCAGGGTGCCCCCAAAATATTAAACTTTTAAGTCAAACAGGATTTGACCCTACACTTGCATGACCTAACTTCACTCACCACATCTTAATCTTAGCTCTGGACAAAGGTATTGGATGGGAAGGAGTGGCCACAAGGAAATGAGATCAATTCAACTTGTCTGAAAGGAAAATAGATTTCAATTCTATACTTACTCTTCAGGTTAGGATAAGAGCAGGTTTCTACACAGAACTATGTTTATAGGGATAACAGTCCAAAGCATTTTACTATCAAAGTGCCATGTATAATGACAACAGAAGTTGTAGTTTCCTACTGGCCTCTATTAGACACAATGGACTATTAGTTTAAAGCATGACAAATATAAATGCTTATAAAGCCTCTTTTCTTTCCAAGGTTAGTAAAGATGAATTTGCTATCATTTCTGAAGCCAAAACTAGTGGGATTTAGTATTCTTACAAATTTGTTATACTTTAATTTAAAAGTCAGTATACTGGAGCGTCAGGGTGGCTCAGTCAGTTAAGTGTCCAACTCTTGATCTCAGCTCACTCAGGTCATGATCTCATGGTTGTGAAATTGAGCCCTTTGTGGGGCTCTGTGCTGAGTATGGAGCCTGCATGGGATCCTCTCTCTCTCCCTCTCCCTTTGCCCCTCTCTTGGTCATACACACTCTTTCTCTCTCTCTCTCTCTTTCTAAAAATAAATGATAAATTAATTAAAAAAAATAAAAGTCACTATACTTTAGATATAGGCAATCTGATGTTATATAAATTAGGTTAAAAATTATTAAATATTACCCAATGCAAAATGAGATGTGATATCAAAATACTGAAAAGCCGGTGAGATCGTTTACTTTCATTAAACCAGATAATAAAAATAATCATGAAAATCATGGTGAAATAATTTCATTTTTCCAATAGTGTGATAAAATATCCTACCAATTAAAAACATAATTAACCTGAGCTCTTGGGTGATTCACTGGGTTAAGCGGCTGACTCTGGATTTTGGTTCAGGTCATGATCTCATGGTTTTTGAGGTAAAATTTGGCATTGGGCTCTGCGCTGACCTAGAGCCTGCTTGGGATGCTCTCTCCCTCTCTCTGTCTCTCTCTCTCTTTCTCTCTCTGTGTCTCTGCCCCCTCCCCCACTCACACATGTATGTGCACATGCACAATCTCTCAAAATAAATAAATAAGCATTAAAAAACAAACTCAATTAATCTGAAAATAATAATAAAGAGAGGTCATACTAACCTTTTACATCATTTGCTAACTTCTTGGCTTCATTAAGAACCCCAAAGCTTTTCTGAAGAGAGCTTTTGGCATCTTCCTTTAATGAACCCTGAGGACCTGTTGCCTGTGGATAGAGAAAGAATGTCACATATCCACAAACACAGAATTATGGAATAGACATATTTGGTGGGCAGCAGTATACAGAGTTTACTTTCAGGGACATATTTTGGGCTACAGAATTATGAATGAGCACATATTGGTGATTAAAGTCAGGAGGCTATCTATTGGGAGAGGAGAAGAAAAGCTAGAACAGAAGCCTCTGGAATCCCAACATGGGAGGGGCACACACAGAAAACGTAGCTGGCAAAGTACCTGAGATGCCAGAGTGAAAAGAAGTCAAGAGATGCAGAGTTGGCTGAACATTTTACTTGAGTTGTGTGCTAAGCGGGGAGGTGGGGGGGGGGGCAATTCTTACCTCCTTCAAATGAGGAAGAACACCACTCCTTTAAAAAACCCATCTCTAAATTCTAAGGCAAAACAATCTTCTAAATAACAATTTCTGAGCTAAAATCATCTAGCAGAGATGTGTTTGTTGAGGCTTGGTTTGAAAGAGATGACACAAAGACAGCAGCATGATTTGGGAAAAGGATTTTATAACCTAATGTCTAGTTATCCACTGTAATAGTGTTTGCTCCTTAGCAATCAGCACATAATACATTTATACCAAGACATAAATCAAATAGGATCTTATGTATAAAGTTTAAATTGGAAAAGTATTTCAGGTAGCAGAAGAGCTAGAGAATGCTAAATACTCACTGTCGAAGTTATAAAGCCCAGACCTAACACTCTTAAAAGATACCTGCTAGTGCCTCAGTAACATTTTTTTTTTTTTTATCAGTCACATTATTTGAGCATTAAACTAGGAAAGATCACAGAACTTGTTACTGTTGTGGTAAAATTATTTTCAGGTGTTCTACTAACAACTTTGATTTAATCTAAATGAAATTAGTCAGAGAAAGATAAATACCATATGATTTCATTCATAAGTGGAATTTAAAAAACAAAGCAGATGAACATAGGAAAAGGAAAAAAAAAAGAGAGGGTGGCAAAGCATAAGAGACTCTTAACTATAGACGACAAATTAAGGGTTGATGGAAGGAGGTCAGTGGGGCATGGTCTAAATGGATGATGGGTATTAAGGAGAGCACTTCATTGTGATGAATCACTAAATTCTACTCCTGAAAATAATATTACACTATTATGTTAAGTAAAATTTAAATAAAAATTTGAGGGGTGCCGGGTCAGCTCAGTTGGTTGAGTCTCCAACTCTTTATTTTAGATCAGGTCATGATCCCAGGGTTGTGGGATTGGGGCTCAGTGTGGAGCCTGCTTAAGATTATCTCTTTCTTGAAGATGGCGGAGAAGCAAGGAGCTCCGTACTTGCACTCGCGCCCATACATCACACAGAAAAGATCCGAAGACATTGGAAACCTTACAAAACCTGAGAGATTGGGAGAAAAAAGACGCAGAATCCACTGAGAGAGCCTTCTAACCGGACTCCGGCTTAGAACACCCTGCGGGCAAGCCCCC